TGATGGATCCCCTCATCTCAGGGCCCCCTCACTTATGGATTCCCCCATCCCTGGGCCCCCTCACTGATGGATCCTCTCATTCCCAGCTCCCCTCATCCCCAGGTCCCCTCACCCCCGGGTCCCCTCTTTTCCAGGTCACCTCATCCTCGGGCTCCCTAGTTGCCAAATCCCTTGTCCGCAGACCCCCTGCTCTGTGGGCCAGCTCCTCGTCCGTCTGCCTAGTCCTTGGACTGTTAATGACGACTGTTTAGTTAGAGGAGTATTCTTCTGATTCGTCTGGTGGAAGCCCACAGGGTGAATCAGTTTTGCGTTTAATACTTTGTGCACATCTTGCTCTGTAGTTTTGTCTGCACCCCCTGTCCATCTCAGCTCTCTCCTCCCTCCCTCCCCGGGTGCCCTGTCTCTACTCGGGTCTCTGCCCTGTCCTGCTGGCTGGGTTTTCTGTGGGCCCAGGGCTACCCTTTCTCCCATGTGGTTGATGATTCTGAAAAGCACCTTCCTCTGAGTATGACATCTGGTTTTCTGGGCCTGCCTGCTGTCTGGCCCCCCAGTGGCCCTGGGGCTTTGAAGGGTGACTGAAGTCCGCGGCCTCCATTAGACGGGCAGGTCTGCCCTTTGGGGTACGTTGGGATCCCCGTACATTGTTTTTAAGTTGTGTTTCTGAAGCATGAGTGTGCACTGACTGAGCTGAACACCATTGTCATGATAGTGGAATATTCTCTGAGGCCAGCACGGCAGGAGTCCACGGTTTTACGTCCCTGCTAGGGGGTGACCTGCTTGTCCCTTCTTGGGCAGGTAGCCTCCTCTGGATGGTAGGCCCTTGGGTCCTGAGTCCATCACAGCCCCAGAGGGTCCTCATGGGGTTCGGTGAGAGACAGTGTATGACGCCAACAGGGTGGGCTCCGTGTGGCTGCTGTCCTCCATGGCACCCACCCGCTCTGAGGCCAGGCTGGAGGCCGGGGCATGGGCCGCTGTCCGTTGTTAGGGGCTACCCAGTGGATGTGCATGGTGTGCTGGGCTGTTGTCTTGAGGAACTAGCATTGGCAACGGCCAGGTCTATCTCCTGTGGGTTCCGGCCGAGTGGTCAGCAGCTGAGGACATGAAGAATGTGGTGGTAGATGTGGCAGAAGACAGCACACACACGGCTCAGATCAGAGGAGTGCTCAGTGTAGACGTCCTGGTGCCGTCTCACCATCAGCTCAGAGGCGTCCTCCCCACCCTGGGGGCTGAGCCGGCACTGTGGGCCTCATTGGCTGACCTGTGACGGGGGCGGTGGACGAGGGGTTCCAGGCGCCCCTCACCAAGCACTGCAGCCTGGGGTCTGTGACATGCACGGTCCTGCCGCCTGGGGTCCATGACACACACGGGCCGTGACACCGGGGTCTGTGATACGTGTGATGCCAGGGTTCCTGACACATGCAGGCTGTGATGCCTGGGTCCATGATGCACGTAACACTTGTTACACCCGCGTTCCTGACTCATGTGGGCCGTAACACCAAGCCCGTGATGCACGTGACACCGTGACGCCCGGGTCCATGACACATGTGGGCCGTGACACCGGGTCCATGATGGATGTGATGCACGTGACACCCTGAGCAGCTTCATGCCCGCCGGGTCAGTTCTCTGTCTGCTCCTTCTTCCAGGGCGAGGACACAGCCATCAGCTCACAGTGTTGGCCAACAATGTTCAGGCTCTCATTTTCTTCCAGAATGTTCTCCCTGACAAAGATGTTGGGATTTACAAAGAGGCTGTCCAGCAGCTTGTTGTTGCAGTCCGTCGCGTGGCCAGGGACTGTGGTCTTTGAGGGAGGTAACATACTGACCTTGATCTTGGCCGTGATCCTCGCCCTGCTCCCAGGCCCTCGAGCCACCCAGCTGACCACTTTGTCCCAAGCCTGTAGGGTGATGATGGTGTGGGTGGTCTCAGGACCTGGGGGACGTTCTGCCCAGGACCCGTGCCCACTACTCATCCACCACCACCTTGCTCCTTCTCCGGCCGTTAGTTGTCTCGTTGGCCTTTGTCCCCTGCTGCTTCTTGGTCACCTTCAGCCTCTCCTGAGGTCAGCATCCCTGCGTCCCAACAAACAGGGATCAGTGGTCAAGCCTGTGTCCTGACACCACCCCTCTCTGAGACCTCCCCACATCTTTATCCCCCATCTCTCTGAGACACTTGGGGCTGACTCCAGAAGACAGCCTGGATTCCTCTGTGAGGACCATTGCAGCACTAGTCATCCTCATCTGGAAAGCCCCAGAGCCCTCCTCTGCCCCCACCTGTCCCCCCAGGTCACCTGTCCCTCCTCTGGGTCCTGGTCCTTGATGAGACCCAAGGAAGGTCCCTCTGAAGTTAACTGTTCTCCCTTCCACCCCAGCCCTCATGATAGGTCTGTTCTGTGCACTGAAGGCCACCCACTAGGTGACACTGGTCCTGCACAAAGACACCTGGGCAGTCCCTGCATCTTTGTGTGTCCTAGGACCTGGCACTGAGACAGCCGTGCGGCTGACAAAGTGACAACCTCAAAACAGCCTTGTCAAGATGTCAGATGCTGATGGTGGGAAATCATCTTTCCTTTTAAATCACCAGATGTGAGTCTCTCATAGATGAGAGCCACTCAGCTAATTATAGGCTCATGACTTCATTTGTGAATGGAAAATTAGTGGGGAGAGTTTCCCCCAGCATTCCTGCTTGTCCCCGAGGGGCTGGGAGACGACGTGGTGGACTCTGATTTCTAGCATTTTGGTTAATTTAATCACGATGTTGCCTGTGCTGCTGTTTTTGGTGCCCGTGAAAGCACTGGACCTGCAAGAGCTTGACTAGAAACAAGTCAACTGGCCGGCTGCTGGCTGGCTGCCCGCTGGCTGGCTGGCCGGGTGCTGGCTGGCTGGCTGGCCGCTGGTTGGCCAGGTGCTGGCTGGTTGGGTGCTGGCTGGCTGGTTGGGTGCTGGCTGGCCGCTGGCCGTCACTGTGTGGAGGACTTTAGCTTCTGAAAGCAGGTGGAGCCTGAGAGGGCCTAGACTTGTTCCCTCCAGACTGTGTGTTAAGCCACAAGCCTGTCAGAAAGCGGGGGGTGGGGGAGGGCGCAGCAGACCTGGGCCCCGAGCCCCAACAATGCGCGTTGGTCATCGATCAGGACTCACGGACTCTGTTCTCTTCAACATTGGAACGTTACTGATCACGTGAGCTGCCCCTCCTCCTGACCTTGTCCTCCTCCTCCTCAGCTTCCTCTCCACCTTCACTTCAGCCTGCATTGCCGTCCAGGTACGAGTCCAGCCACTGCCGCGTTCCTCACTCATGGTCACAGCAGCTCAGCTCATGGTGACCGGGCCGCGACAGAAGGCGCCCTGCCCGCTGCTGCCCCAGCCCACGCTCTCCACTGCACAAGTGTCTGTGACTGCAGCCTCTGGGTCCCCTGCCTAACTGAGGGTCCACTTTCTTGCTGACCCTCTGCTCTCACACGTGTGGTGCCCTTCCCCAGGGCAGCCCCTCTGGGTAGCAAACCCGAAGTCCGTGAGGTGAAGGCCGCCAGCCTCACGTCCGCGGGGTGTTCTGGCCACACGTCTTCTCCAGCCACCTGTGGCTCTGTGTTAATACACTGTGTCATAGCTGTTGTCAGCTACTGTCCTGTCCGCATGACTGCAGTGACCCTGTGAACCCGATGGGAACCTTGCCTCGTGCTGCGCCGTCCTCGTCATCCCTGAGACACCTGAACCCCAAGAGTCCTCCTTCAGAACCCCCCCCAGGTCCCTTACTTCTGCATCCCAGGGCTTTCCTAATAAGCAGCTGTCGGCCGCACTGCCCTGGCCAGGTGCTCCACCCTCTGAAGGCCGCAGAGCACACTTTCCTGTAACCGCTCACCATCTCTTATTGATTGATTGGTGGGTTGAGACACATCTTGTTTGCCAACACTGCTGACATTACAGTCCCTGGATGCCGCAGCTCTCTCCCCACTTCCTCCCTGTGAGTCTCGCTTCCATCCATCCTCTTGTCCTCCCCTTCCCTGCCTTCTGTGCGTGACCCTTGACAGGTATTGATGTTTGGATTGCCGTGAATGCCCCTCCCTGGTCTGACTGGCCACTGCTGGCCTGTCTGTGGTTTTGCTGGGCCATGGGGTGAGCTTAGTTCCAGGTTGGCAGTGGGGCATGGTCTCTGGTTGTGCCAGTCTCTTAAGACATGGGCATTTTGAGGTTTTGAGGCCCAGTCCTCACCCTCTAAGTGAGACGTGGCCCCTGGAGTGCAGCAGAAGAAGAGGGAGGGGCTGAGCCGGCCGTGACTGTGCACACTTAGGGGTGTGGGGTACACTCTGCTGAGGTGTGGCGTGAGCACAGACATGAGCCCTCGGCTCTGCAGCCCTTGCCTCCCCTCATCAGAGACCGCTCTTCCCAGAAGCGCTGCACTCTGGTTTCCCCAAGAATGTGCCGAGCTTGTGTTTCTTGAGCTGAAGGCAAACAAAATACCACAAAACATACAACAGTTTGTAGATGGATACTTTCTGACTGCACTCAGGCTGTATTTCCTCTGGGGTGTACTGAGTGGGCCTCTGGGAGCAGAGTTCTAAGGGGGACGGGTCCCAGAGCAGCCTCCCGCCCTCCCTGGCGCAGCCTCCTTTGCTGCTCAAGCATCCTCTGCAGGTGTGTTTAGCGGTGAGCTCTCTGGGAACT